TGGTCACTTCTCGGTTAGATAACTTTAATTCACTTTTATTTGTTTTACCTTTAAGTTTATAGATAAATCACAAAAAATAAAGAACACTGCGGCTAAACTTGTTACTTTAAGAAATGTGATCACATCTACATGTATAATTTATATAATTTACACTGACTGGTTCCTACTAAACATCGAATTGATTTTAAGATCTTGTAATTTATCATTAAATGTTTAAATAATTTAGCTACTGTTTGTTTACCTCATTGGGGGTCACAGTGGCTAAATGGTTAAGCCGCTGGCTTGCTAGCCTGGAGGTCGGATGTTTGATCCCTGCATTGGATGAGAAAGTTCATCCAGATTTTTTGGCGTGGTTCCCGCTTGTCAGTGATGCAGGACAAGGACAGTCGTCTAGTCGTTCGGATGGTACAAAAAAACGAGGTCATGTGTACACATTGGCATGCATGTAAAAGATCCCTTGACAGTTGGAATTCGATATAATAGTAGGCCAAAGTGCCACTGTCCGGGCAAAATTTCCCTCATAGTACACTTTATGGCATTCGCCGTCTTCATTAGCACAGATCGGAGCAGAACGGTAGGACGTTAAACCCCATTTCATTTTGTTTACCTCATTGATCTTTTAGAACTTTATACACCTGGCCGAACATTACGTGCATCAGACAAATTACTTCTAAAGCCAGGAACTGTTCAACTAGTCTCTTATGGTTAACACTCTTTTAGTTTTCAAGACCCGTATTGTGGAATGATCTACCATTTAGTTTAAGATGTTGTACATCTCTATATTCTTTTTAAAAAAACAAACTTTGTAACACATTTAAACAAACATTTAACGGAGTCTGTTTACAACTGTTAATATGTCCATAATATTTTTTATGATGATTATATTGTCACTTTGTAAAGTGTCTGAACACGTGATATGAATGGGCGCATTATAAATATGCTGTAATAATAATAATAATAATAATAATAATAATCCTATGGTGTTGACGTCACGACTCATGGTGTTTACATGGCACGAAATAATGTTTATATGGGATATGGTGGCAAGTTTATATATTAAAGGACAATATTGGTGCCAGTCATTATCACACATGTGATAGAGCTGGTTAATCACATCCCAAATATAATTTTAACGCAGAGATCATTGCTACGATAGCTGAGTAATACAGGATTCCTGAATCGGAAGTGACGAACGCCAAAGGAAAACACGAGTGATCCCTCTATATAACTGACTGATGTGATGAGTGATAACAGATACACGGCCGAATTTCTGCTTACTAATAATTCCTTCGAAGATCAAAAGTTGTTGTGTGAGACTGTGCATGAGAGGATATTGAGTAATGGGATTGCCCCTAGTTAACCCCAATGAATTGTCACTCTTTTAGGTCAATACTGTTAAATAAATCTTAGGCTATCCTAACGATTATGGATCAACATCACCATCAATTATGAATTTAATTTAATCCTATACTTTTGTTGTGATAAATTAAAAGCATACATATTACTTAAAGATGCAACTGAGTGCACAGAAGTACATGTAGGGATGTTCATATTATTTCTTTATTAGCAACTTTAATCAAAAACACCTGATACCATTCCTCAATAGTTAAACAGTTCACACTGTTATTGTATTCCATCAACAAAGATAAACTTTGATATCACCATCATTTTTAAAAAAAAATAAATCTGATTCTGATCCGGCTGTTAAAGCCCCCCCCCCCCAAAAAAAAGAAAGAAATATAGAAATAAATGTTAGTCCCAAAATGACACATAGTTTGTGTCAAGTAGATGTTAAACACCATTTCTCTCTCTTTCCTTTAGTTTTTGATATGGAAAATATGAAAATACTTGTTCTATGGAACTTGGATATGATCTCTTGTTTTTTAATTTCCTATTTAATATTTTTAATTTTGAATTTTGAAAAATAATTTCTAATTTAAATTTTCGTAACTTAATCTTGAATTTTTGTAAATCTGAAAATTTAACTTTTTTGTAAATTAAATAAGTAAATTAAATTTTTAATTTTTTTTGCATATTAAATTTTTAATTTTTTTTAAAAATTATATTTTTAATTTTTTTTAAAAATTATATTTTTAATTAAGTTATATTTTTAATTAAATTAATTCTTAAGTCTTCCTAATCAGTAAACCGTGAACTTTATCATAAGTTATCAAGTTACCTCATATAGCCAAGCTACATGTATTATCAAGATCACAGGAATCAGCCAAGGTTTGCTCAATGGTGCTTATTGTCTTGTTGACTTGCCCGACAAAAAGATTAATTGTTTTTGAAAATACAAGATTATAAATTTTTTTACAAATTGAAATTAAAATACAAAACATATATAAGTTAAAATCTCTTAATCAAAGTTTAAAATCATCAATTAGGGGGGTCAGAAAAAAATAAAACAAGCCAACAGTGAGGCTGATGTCCCCCGCCGAAATCCCAAAATAATTAGATGACACATATTAATTAATAGCACATTTATTTTTTTCAAAGTATCGAGCAATCAAACTATACACTAAGTTTCATCACTCTCTATCAAATAGAATCAAGATTATGAAGCTGATAAGCTCTGCTTAGCATCAGCTCGAAATGTTAATCATTGAACTCAGTCAAGACATTCACCTAATGAACATCTACATCAAGTTTAAACATTCTACCTCAATTAAAACCAGAGTTGTTATGTTCCAAAGTCTTATCGCTCATTAACCTAAGCAGAAAATTCTCACCATCGAACTTAGTCAAGGTAATGATATACTGAATCTATATTCGGAGTTTCATCGCTCTCACTTTATTATAACCAAGGTTATCTTGCCCCTAAGCATCAACCAATCAGATTGCTTATCTCTGCTTACCGTAACCATACAATGTTCATCATCGAACTCCATCAAAGCATATAACTAATGAAAGCCTACACCAAGTTTGAACATTCTACATCAATTAGAATGCGAGTTATTGTGTTCCAATGTCTCGACCAATCAAATTGCTTATCGCTCTGCGTAGCCTGAGCAGAAAATGTTCATTATTGAACTTAGTCAAGGTATTGATGTAATGAAGCTATACACCAGGTTTCATCAATCTCACTTAATTAAAACTAAAGTTGTCATGTCCCAAAGCATCAACCAATCAAATTGCTTATCTCTGCTTACCCTTAGCAGAAAATGCTCATCTTCGAAATCCATCAAGACATTGACCTAATAAACACCTACACCAAGTTTGAACATTCTAGCTCAATTAGAAGGAGAGTTATTGTGTTCCAAAGTCTCGGCCAATCAAATTGCTTAACGCTCTGATTACCCCAAGCAAAACATGCTCATTATCGAACTTAGTCAAGGTATTGATGTAATGAAACTATACACCAAGTTTCATCACTCTCACGTAATTAGAACTAAAGTTATCGTGTCCCAAAGCATCAACCAATCAAATTGCTTATCTCTGCTTACCCTAAGCAGAAAGTGCTCATGTTTGAACTCCATCAAGGCATTGACCTAATAAACACTTACACCAAGTTTGAACATTCTAGTTCAATTAGAAGGAGAGTTATTGTGTTCCAAAGTCTCGGCTAATCAAAATTGCTTATCGCTCTGCTTACCCCAAGCAAAAAATGCTCTTTATCGAACTTAGTCAAGGTATTGATGTAATGAAACTATACACCATGTTTCATCACTCTCACGTAATTAGAACTAAAGTTATCGTGTCCCAAAGTGTCAATCAATCAAATTGCTTATTTCTGCTTACCCTAAGCAGAAAATGCTCATCTTCGAACTCTATCAAGGCATTGACCTAATAAACACTTACATCAAGTTTGAACATTCTAGCTCAATTAGAAAGAGAGTCATTGTGTCCCAAAAAGTGTGACGGACAGACAGATGGACGAACCCATTTTAATAGTCCCCTGCTTTCTTCGAAGGGTGGGGGACAAAAACATATGTTCATACATGGGAAGGGTAACTACAACTTTTGAAGGAGGCCCCGAATTTGAACATCAATATTTGTAAAATAACACCCCCCCCCCCCCAAAAAAAAAAAAAAGGTTATAGATATGTTGATATATGCTTGATAACGACTTTTGAAGGAGGCCCCGAATTTGAACATCAATATTTGTAAAATAACACCCCCCCCTCCAAAAAAAAATAAGGTTATAGATATGTTGATATATGCTTGATAACGACTTGTGAAATCTTGTTGAAAGGTCACAGTGAAATAAACTATAGTAATTGTTATCCATAAAAGGTGGTTTATTGATTATGTTCCAATTACTAAATGCCATTTAAAGAATATAATTTTCAAACTAATTTTCAAATTATAAACTAATTTTCTAATTATAAACTAATTTTCTAATTATAAACTAATTTTCTAATTATAAACTAATTTTCTAATTATAAACTAATTTTCAAATTATAAACTAATTTTCAAATTATAAATTAATTTTCAAATTATAAATTAATTTTCAAATTATAAATTAATTTTTAAAATTATAAACTTATTTTCAAATTATAAACTTATTTTCAATTTATAAACTTATTTTCAAATTATAAACTTATTTTCAAATTATAAACTATGTTTCAAATTAGAAACTAAGTTTCAAATTAGAAACTAAGTTTCAAATTAGAAACTAAGTTTCAAATTAGAAACTAGGTTTCAAATTGGAAATTCAAAATAAAAATTTGAAATTAATCATTCAAATTATAAAATTAAATTTAAAATCAAAAATAAAAATAGGACCTCCCCCCCCCCCCCCCAAAAAAGTTTCAAATTAGAAACTAAGTTTCAAATTAGAAACTAGGTTTCTAATTAGAAACTAGGTTTCAAATTAGAAACTAGGTTTCAAATTAGAAACTAGGTTTCAAATTTGAAATTCAAAATAAAAATTTGAAATTAATCTTTCAAATTATAAAATAAAAATTTGAAATTAATCTTTCAAATTATAAAATAAAAATTTGAAATTAATCTTTCAAATTATAAAATTAAATTTAAAATTAAAAATAAAAATAGGACCCCCCCCCCTCAAAAAAAGACAAGAAATAGTTTGTATTTGAGTTTCTGGATTAATCCACACACATAGAACATTCCAGTCAATAAATAAGTAAATTCTTATCCATTTTGCATCCTCATATTTTCTTTCCACCGGCAACATCTTATGATCCTGTAGTTACTCAGATCTGATTGGGTTGTCCATATATATCTACTCTATTAAAGTGTTGCCGATCCCTAAACTATCCACATATTTCACATTGAATTCAGAAAAATTCTGATGCTTTTGCTCTTTTAGGCAATTGTAGTAAATTATCTGTTAAGGAACTGATATCAGCTCCTGAATGTTTTGGTGTTCCAGTTGATTTGGGAGTTACAGGTGTTTTGGGACTGGCTACCATCACAGATCTAACAGATTTGGGTGTTCTGGTTGGAGTGCCACGTAAAATGGGCGTCTTATCACCCGATAGTCTATGAGATGGAGAAGGAGTATAACTGTCCTTTAAGGCTTTATCTGTATGTGTTCGGATTCCAAGCTTTTTACTTGCTAATCTTTGAGCAGCAGGAGACAAGGAATTTAGGCGGTCGGTAGATGAAAGGCTGAACTTTGGAGATGGACTGAAAATAGAAAAAAAAAATAATATATAGTACTATCAATACTTAAAGGTAAGAAACCCAACTGTGAAGCTGATGCTTCCCCAACTTAAATCCATAATAAAAAGATGAATAATCATTAAAAAGCAAGGACATTATCTTTGCTATAAAGTATCGAACATTCAAATTACTTAACACTCTGCTTAACCGTAGCAGAAAATGCTTATTATTGAACTTAGCCAAGTATAATCACTTTCACTCAATTAGAAAATAGAAATCAGAGTTATTGACAAAACATCGACAAAATGGAATGGCTTATACTTCCTTAGCTCAAGCAGAAAATGCTTTATCATGTTCCAAAGCATCGATAAAACAAATCGTGCAAAATTATAATCATCAAAGTCAATCAAGACATACTCGCAATGAACATTCTACTTCAATTCAAAGTGGAGTTATTGTGTCTGACAAGCCATAAGAATGAACCCATTTTAATAGACCCTTGCCTTTCTTCGTTAGATAGGGGGGTTAGGTGGTCGAATGGTTTAACATGTGCACATTGGATCATAAGATCTGTCATTGAATCAAGTGATGTGGTTTCGATTCCCCGCTTGTACATGACAAGGAGTTGGGTCGCCTGTCAACTCCTTGTTGGTTTACGCCTGGTCCTCCAGTTCCAATCAACAGTTAAAAGATCCCTTGTGAATTATTGAAATAAAATTGAACCATATGTTAGTCCCTAAATGACAAGGTTAAACTCCATTTCTCTTTCTCTCTCCATTTGATACAATGTAGACAAAGCACAAAGATTTGTAAGTCACTAAATACCAAGTGAAAAATGAGAGTTACAGTACAGGCATTCCAATAGCAAAGTAGTTTTTGGTACAGATATAACCAAAGGTCCATGAGCTACAGTACCAGGCCCAGGTATTACTAAGTTGACTTAAAGATACTTTCCCAGAAAAGTATTTATCGGGTGGTTATTTCCAATGAAAGTATGTCATATTTGGTATATATGGAAAGTATAGAGACCCAATCTTACTAGAAAAATACTGGATTACCTGAAAAATGCCCATGGGGCAAGCACTGGGCAAAATTGTCAGGGTATCACTAACTGGCGACCCAACTGTTATCTGCCAGCTTATTGTGTGCCAGCTTAAGTGAGGGGGCAGTTGTTATTTTTTGATCAAATGGTTAGGCGGTTTTGGGAACATTGAGGGGTGTTAACGTACAAAAGACACTGCAATTAAACGGCGGAAAAAGAAGTTGACAGAAATAATTAAGAATTTACTTAGGCCTCAAATGAGTCAATATGTATGGTAAATGTACAGTAAGTAATGATAAATATATTCTGAAAAATGGACCCTCCCACAATGAAGCTAAGTTGACAGACATTGCGTCTAACAACAGCTTACTTATAGTTATATAGGTATCCTTGGCGAATACAAAGTTTTAAGAAGGAATTGAAGCAAATTTTTGATAGATTGGTTACTTTAAATATGTTTTTAGTCCAAATATATTATCAAATCACAAAGTTTGTACGTGGGAATGTATCTTTAAACTATGAAACTATTTCAAGTTTATCAGGTGCAAAGGAGGTGTCTGAATCACACTATTACTATTAACAAAAAGAAAGTCGACATGAACCATGGTTCACACAAATGCCCATTTCAAGTTTATCAGGTGCCTGTATGTATCACACTATTAACAATTTGTAGGCCTGCACATAACAGAATTCACATAAATTACAATTCAAATTAATCAGGAGAATGAAAGCTGTCTGGAGAACATTAATAATAAATATATATAGCTAATAAAACTTGTAGAAAAATTCACATAAAAAAGTTATTACACTTTAAATCAGGGGTGTCAAACCCATTTCATTTCAGGGGTCACATGAACTAAAATTTTACATCATAAGCGGTATACAAAAATATCAAGATAAAGTCAAACATCCTATAACTTTACTGAATTCTAAAAACAAAGCCAAATGTCCTTGACACAGGTAATTTTTTTAGACTAGTTTCCAAATTGCCAAGGTATAATCTTGATTTTAGCAAAACATTTGAACTCATTGAAACTGCATCTTTATCAATTTGATAAAAATTCACAAATTTTAACTGTATCATATCTTGATTCGCAGAAGCAAAATTCCCCAGCTATTTAAAAAAGATGGCCCTTGAGTTCCCAACAAAAGCATTATTAAATAAGTACCTATATTTTCCATAATATTCGAAATTATTGGGCCATTTCAATCAATATTGATGTTGTTAACTTGCAGTGAAAATATGGAATCTGATATCCAATATTTAAGACAAAATCAACATTTTATAATCAGTAAACTAGTTGTGTATTCTATGCTTTGTAATTGCCAAAGTAACACACATCCTACAAGATAACGTGGAAGTAATTAGTAATGGCAGATTCACAAAATAATAATAAAAATATGTGTAGAATAGATACATGTAAAGCAAGCTAAAAGATAGGTTGCCAGGCAACGAAACATACGCCCACAGCAGCTAAATCATCCAGGCAGTCAACAAGAGTTGTCAAATATTTTTAATTTTCGGTAATGAAACATTTATAATACACTAAAATCTGATTATAAATTTAAAGTCAATCGGATATTAACTTTGACCTCTAGGCCGTCCACAAGATTTTTCAAAGTGATTAAGGGCCATAACTCTGGCAGTAATTATCCGATATTGCTGAAAATCAATAGGCTTCTTCGTCTCATGACCTTAAACACTGTGTATAAATTTAAAGTCAATCGGATATTAACTTTGACCTTTAGAGCGTCCACTAGATTTTTCAAAGTGATCAAGGGCCATAACTCTCTGGCAGTAATTATCGGAAATCGCTGAAAATCAATAGGCTTCTTCGTCTCATGACCTTAAACACTGTGTATAAATTTAAAGTCAATTGGATATAAACTTTGGTCTCTAGAGCGTCGTCGACAAGATATTTTAAAATGATCAAGAGACATAACTCTGGCAGTAATTATCGGAAATCGCTGAAAATCAATAGGCTTCTTCGTCTCATGACCTTAAACACTGTGTATAAATTTAAGATCAATCGGATATTAACTGTGGCCTCTAGAGCGTCCCCAAGATTTTTTGAAGGGATCAAGAGACATAACTCTGGCAGTAATTATCGAAAATCGCTGAAAATCAATAGGCTTCTTCGTCTCATGACCTTAAACACTGTGTATGAATTTAAGATCAATCGGATATTAACTTTGGCCTCTAGAGCGTCCAAAAGATTTTTTGAAGTGATCAAGGGCCATAACTCTGGCAGTAATTAACGGAAATCGCTGAAAATCAATAGGCTTCTTCGTCTCATGACCTTAAACACTGTGTATAAATTTAAGATCAATCTGATATTAACTTTGGCCTCTAAAGCGTCCACAAGATTTTTTGAAGTGATCAAGGGCCATTACTCTGGCAGTAATTATTGGAAATCGCTGAAAATCAATTAGGCTTCTTCGTCTCATGACCTTAAACACTGTGTATAAATTTAAGATCAATCGGATGTTAACTTTGGCCTCTAGAGCGTCCACAAGATTTTTTGAAGTGATCAAGGGCCATAACTCTGGCAGTAATTATCGGAAATCGCTGAAAATCAATAGGCTTCTTCGTCTCATGACCTTAAATACTGTGTATAAATTTAAAGTCAATCGGATATTAACTTTAGCCTCTAGAGCGTCCACGACGCCGGACCGCCGGACGGGGGCGACGACAATATACGTCCACATTTAAATGTGGGCGTATAAAAACTGTCATTCAGTTTGTACTGCTCACATATTTCACTGAACATAATTGATTATAAATTAAAATAATCTTTTTTCTTAAAAACTGAATATAAATCACTTATATACATTCATATTTGATTAATATGTGCTTTTAACCCATTTTCATCTATTTTAAGGTTCCAAGAATAGAGCTATATGCCATTTAATTCTCATAAATGGATGAGTGCAAGATTTAAAGCAATCCATCATATCATCAAGTTATCAAGTATTCACCACTTGATATATTTCTTTTACGGAGTACATATTAAACAACATTCCAGCATGAAATTTTGTCTTACATAAGATGAATTTTTTAATGTGCTCTAGGTCGCATAGTGCGTTACGGAGGGGAATTATGGAATTATGGTCCACACTAATTTCATTTTCCAACTGTCAAGGAATCTTTAGCGTATAGTCTCTATCATTTAGGAAAATATTCTACTTGATAAATTGTCAACATTTGAGCATATCAGGTCTTTTATGTTACCATGTACGAAATCTACTTTTTTCAGTTCAAGAACATTTTTTTATCCCATGTCCTCCATACTCTACCACTACAGGAAACTAGGCAGGTCCATTCTAACACAGGGTTCGAGCATGAGAACTCCTAGTTAGTGACCCAGTGCTCTAATAACTGAGCCACCGTTGCTCCTTTGCCATAAATAACATCATATCAACGGTAACTGAGAACTGTACATGGGAAATGATATGAAATTTGGTTTAACTTCCTATTGTTCTGAGCATACATTGCAGGCATCATGCTGCTTTTTAGTAAATGGAACTAGTGTATTGCTAATTTTGGGACCAACATTTGGTTGTTCTTTTTTTACTGTGGTAATTCAAAGACGTGTATAAAGAACTTCTGCATGGATAATAGCATTTTTGCCTACTCTTCAAATTTCGATCATCAAGGAGCCTTTTACATGCACACCAATGAGTACCAATCAAGTTAGCCTTGCAGGTGCAAACACTCACAAAATGTCACAATTTAGAATAGGGTAGGCTACAGATAAGCGCATGCCAGGTCTAAATATCCAAATTATTCCCAGCAAAAAAAAAAAACCAAATAAAAAAGAAAAATTTCTTTGACTACCAACTAATGTTTACAGTGTAAAACATGAACACAACAGTTCATAAAGGTTGTTGTAGTATGATTCTTTGTTTCATCATGGAGCTTAAAGGGACAATAACACTCTTGCTGGCTTGAAAGCTCCAGAAAATAAATAATATCTCTATC